CCGAGGTATTCGAGCAATGTCCCCGGTGGCCTTTCCACGGGGGAAGAGATAAGGCAACAGCTGGGAGAGAGGTGGCCCACGAAGAGCTCGCCTTCTCTCGATGCAGGCCCTTAGCTGGCCCGGGGAGGTCAGCAGCACCAGCTGCCTTGCCCTCTACCCAGATGGTTTCCCCAAGCTCGGGCTGGGAGTAGAGCTCATCTCCTGCCACTCCGGAACTGGAGAAGTAACTGGGGACACGTTTTGAGTGTATGGTAGGCCTAGTGTGTGTGTGAGTGTGTACCTGCTCCGAGCAGCCACATCTGGGGCGTTTTCAGATTCCGTCCCTCTCGTGCCGAGAACATGGCAAAGCCTTGAGGGCAGAAGAGAAGAAAGGCTTCCCACCTCCTGAGATGCTCTCGCCCGGATAGCACTGCTAACTGCCCCCACCAGCTCGCCAGAGGGAAACACCTGTTGATAACACACCGTCCGGAAGGAATCTGGAGCTGCATAAGCCCGGCTATGCTACCACCGGACTTCACGTCTGATGCTCGCCCCAGGTCCGAGGCCAGGGCAGACTGTCCAATAAAGGCTGAACTCAGTCACCAAGCCAGGCTAGAGGGCCAGGCACAAGGAGGCCACAGGCAAATCACAGGGGAAGTGGGGAGCAGCTGCGGGTGGGTGAGGTTTCCCGAGCGCCGGTCTGGAAAGAAATCGGCATCAGCTCCGTCTCCAAGTCTTCGACGGTTAGCGTTATAACAAGAAGCCCCCACGGGACCAACAGCCTTACGATGAGGCAGGCAGGTTAAAGAAAGAGACACCAAACGGTAACTCAGTTTTAACGTTTTATTGGGTAAATGATTTTAAAGATAGTAACAATAGTGTCAAAACTACTACAATATCTTTCCACAGCCATACCTTACAGACCCACGTAAACCTTCTCATTTTTTTCCTCTCGTTCAGTTTTAATATTTTCAAGCTATACATATCATATAAAATGCCCATTTCCAATAGTTTCTTCAAACTATTAAGCAATTAAATGTGGAAGGAAGGAGGATCTAGTTATACTTGGAGGGGGTTTCAGGTAATCTGCGATGTCTCACTGTAATCCAAAAACAGGTTACTAAGAAAGAAAGAAGGAAAAGTAGAGCTACCCCAGGTAGCTTTTGCTCATTACGAGTCTCACCACTGTATCACCAAGAACTCTGTATGCTGGTGACGGATTCAAAGTAATTTCGGGGAACATACAAAACACTAAAATAACTTAGAAACTAGATCCAAATATTTCAAAAGTAATCGACTTTGATATACAAAAACAGTCAGAGGTGGTTACAAAAGTTTGTTTTCTCAGTGCGTCTATGTACCAGCGCAGTTACTGGGTCCAGAGCAAAATAAAAGGTTTCTCTTCTTCTGAAACAGTAATAAAAAACAAGGAAAACAGATCTTTGTATATAAAGGATCAATGCTGGTCTTCAGAATAATGTAATCGGAAACCCTTAAATCGAGAGGCACACAACGGGTTTCTGCTTTTAAAAAATAAAAGGAAAGTCACCAGTTTATTTCAATGGAGGAGGTGCTCACACCCCTCAAATAAACTTAATTCAATTGAACATCACTAGCAAAAATCACTTAGAAACTGTACAAAAATAAAAAAGTTAACACATTTAATCCTGCAAGGTTTTTGTAAGGACTGGAAGGCAGGCTTTTGGAGCAGCATTTGGGCATGGCTGGGGGCTTCTTTGGTTTGATCTAACACACGTAAGAGATGGAACCTACTCCAGATGACAGTTTCAAATTTCCTGCACATTTGAAGACATGGAAAGAGGCCGGTATACAAACTTCTGGTGTGCTGGGCATTGGGACTGTGTGTACTGGACTAGAAACTCTTACACCTGCTTGAAGGGGGAAGGGGGACCGAGAGCAAGCCTTGCACCTTCCTCCATCAAGTACACCGACCTCTCATGGTTAGGGGAGACTGGGGTGGGTGGGAGCACACTCTCGTGCAGTCCGAAGGCCACTTAATGGGGGTCGGCGGTGGGCTAGGGTGGTGGTGGGGGGCAATTGTTCTTTTAGAATCTGGTACCTGGCTGACTTTAAGAACAAGAAAACCTTCCAGAAACGGAAGCCTTTTGCTACATACCAAAGTAAAACGCGTACTGTTTTCCCAGAGGAAAAAAAAATACCCAGTTGCATTTGAGAAACAAAACACAGAAATGGAACTAATTAACATTTAAAAGGGGGGGCAATGTAAACTTTGTGCTACTCAAATGAAGTTCAAGTATTACTTCTGAGCTGTTTAAAGATCACTGAACTTATACAATATTCTGGTGTTGAGAGTGCAATTCACATTTGTGTTTCTGGACAAATAAACCACAACTGGCTGAAACACAACCTGTGCAATCAGAATCTTCGTCTGAGTTAAAGACACATGCTACATATTTCAACATGATCCAAGTTCATTCAAACCACAGACTTAACAGCTTTGTACTATACGATGAAGGTGAAAGGGTCTAGCGTTTTTGTTTGAAGCACACCATTACAGTTTGCACGACACCCTTTACACTACAAAGTCTTTTTAGTCAACAGCTATTTAGAGACAAAAAAAAATGCACTGTGCATTAATTTGAAAACAAAAGGAGACAAAACTATCCTTTTCCCCCAAGCCATGGTGGGAAATATTGCTGACCTCGTCCTCTGAAGCCTGCAGGATGGTTATTTCTTCAGTATAACATTATTACAACTGGTAAGAAAAAATCTGTAGAACATCTGCATATATCAAGAATTTTTTAAAAATCTGATATGATTTTTAGAGTCCGCACGACCAGTCACGTGATCTGCTCGATTGATTAGCACCGTTAAATACATAAACACACATATGTATGTATGTACGTGTAAGTAAATGTATACACACACACATATGTATGTCATAGATCTTTTCTTTGAAAAACAACAACAACAACTTCTAACCATGAGCTCACCCAGGACAAGGAGCCTGTTGAACTGATGAGATGATGGATAAGATGGGTCAATATTGGTCTATTTTGTCTCTCTTCAGTTTGCTTGTTTTATTTACTTTTTTTTTTTTTTTGCAGCAGACAATATCATTCAGCTTGTGCTCAGTTTCCCTATAAGGGCAAGAAAAAGTTTCCATCAGGTAGCCACCTGGTTTTATGCTGAAAGACGAATCTGCTCCAAAACTGCTCCCAAGGAGAAACAAAAGGACTCAAGATCCCTTGCTATAGCCCAAGAGCTAGCTTTCTCTGACTAATCTCTAGGTTTAGTGGAACTGGCTACCAGGATTGCATTTCAGGCTAACAATTGGCTTCTTAGTTAAGGCATCACAACTGAAAATGGTTATTTCAACAACCGGCGCTGTGGATGAAGGAATACCACCAAACCTCTAAGGACTCTGATCAAAAATGAAAGCAGTTTGCTCTGCCACAGTGGCAAGCGGAGGGAATTCAGGCAATCAGCGCACCAACTAGCAAAAGGGTTTTGAATTCGGAACTAGCAGTCTGTCACTTGTCACAGCCGACTCTAGGTATAAGCTCCACCATTTTGATTTTCAGTGACATCTCAAGAGTTTTAGACTACATATTCTGCACCACACTTATATTCATCACTTGATATACTGGTTTCCTGTTGGAAAAAAATTACACACACACACACACACAAACACACACACACACACACACACTATAGGAAAATGAAGGTAATCTTTCTCCAGAATCATCTGTCATTTTTCCTGGGGATAGACACACGGACCTCCTACTCCTCCTGACATTGGGAAGTTCTCTTTGTATGCACCATGGGAAGACCAGCCCTGCAAATGGGCTGGGGTCTAACAACTCTGTCATTTCTAAATGCCGGCTCCATTTTCATAGGTGTAATGTAACATCTTATCAACATAGTAAATGTGTTTCTATCAAAAGTATGTAGTGCAGAAAGACTCCAGTCTTATCCCCATGACAAACGTTATCTGAAATCATGGCATATATGAACTTTTGTTTCACTAGATTATCTTTACTATTTCTTTAAATAGTCACTAAAATTGTCTCCGGCCAATCATGACTTATTGAAACCTAAAGCTAACAGGTTTAAATTAATATATAATAGACAAATGTCTCTTTTTGGTTATTTGCTCAAAATAAATTTTTTCACCTTAAAAAAATACTTAAGAGTAAGGAATTCATCTAATCTGCTGTTTCACATATAGACACAATAAAATTTTATAAGAATATTTCTCTAAATTGCCTTTTTTCCCCCTAACCTCTCTTAATTCCATTTAATTATATTCTTCTCAAAGGCACTAAATTCTCTATCTGCTCTCTTCCTGATATTTGCTGCTCTTCAAAATGATTTCTGTAGCATATCTGAAAGGTAGCTTGTACTTTCTTAAAACAGTGTTGTAGTTTGTTAAGTTGGTTCTATAGAGTGATGAAGGTCTCTTCTATGATAACCAGCACAATAGGAATAAATGATTTCTCATTCTCTGTGACAAGCTCTATCATGGACCTTTGCATGTTCTCTACTAGAACTAAAGTTCATATACTTTAACCATGGGAAAAACACCGAAGGAGTGAAGACCCACATACTAAGCTCTCATAGCAAAATGCGTTTTAGACAAATTCAAGAGTAATATACAAATACCTGAATTTGATATGAATTGCTCCCAAACTCAGCTATCAAAAATTCTCTATCTTACCGAGGAAAAACTAGAGAAAAACCTAAATAAAATCCTTAAAAACTGCACAATTTCTTCCATCCACAGTTGAAAGAAGGAGGGAAGAGAAGACAGAAGGAAGGAAAGAAGACAGGAGGGAAGGCAAGGACAGAAAGACAGAAACCTGATCAAGAGAGCAAAGCAAAATTCTACATAATATGGCAAGGAAAGAAAACCCCAAAAGTTATATATGCTGCAAAAAAAAAAAAAAATCAATGATCTAAAATAATAAAACAGAACCTTCTTAACAAATGCCATTTTCCTACCCGTTACCATGATGATCTTAACTGATGATGTCCAAGCTTCATCATGGCAACGGAAACTATCATCATAAAATGGTACAGTAAAAGAGATAGCTAGACCAAGAAGGGGCAGGGTCTCCTGGGAAGAGGTCTGCAGAGAGGCCCAGTGACTGGCTGTGCGGCTCAGTGTCAGGAATAATGGTTGTATGGCGGAAGGGGATGCCCAATGCCATTTTGGAAATGATGATGCTGGCGATGAGCAAGGTATTCAGCATAGCTCAGGGTCATCTTTTCACTACGGTACCTGAAAAAGTCAGGGAAGAGACAAAGTTAACATCAAGAAATAGATGACACGCCAATGTCAGAGCTAGGAGGGACCTTAGAGGTAACTTTACAGACCTGGAGAGACAGAGGTCCAGAGAGAAGTCGTGACTGGCCCAATGCCACACAACCAAGTGGCGAAGCTGAGATCCGAACCCGGGAATCCAAAGTCTAAGTCCAGTGCTCTTTCTGCTCTACTGCTCCTGGTTTCAGTCATTCTAGAAATTTCCATGCCCAGCCCCCTCCAGCAGCCCCAGCTTGCTAGCGGGAAGGAACAGAGGAAAGCCAACCTATCGCCATTGTGCACACATCTCATTCACTTGACTGTTCTTTCTTCCAGGACCTTCCCTCTTTGTCCATTCCCTTCCCTTCATCCACGCATCTACTCAGGCCTTGCCATTTGGTAAGAACAGCAACAACGAAATGCTTTTCCTAGTACTGGTATCCCGAACCCTCTCTTACCCCATCTCTGGCTCTCCTTTTACCCCCTCACTTCTCAAAAGTGTAACGTGGCGTTTTCTGCCTTCAGCCCTTCATCTCATGCTGCTCCTCAGGCCCGTGTTCCTCGGCTCCTGCCACTCTTCCACGGAAGCTGCTCTTTCAGAAGGTCACCCCTGCTCCTGCTTGACCTCTCCATTAGGAGCCCACGCGCCGCTCCCTTCCTGAAGCTCTCCTGTGTCGTGGGCTCTACAACCTCCACACGTCCTTTGTTCTCCCCCCTCCGCCCCCACCAGCACTGGCTCCCAGACTATTCCTCCTACTCCTGCCTGCTAGGATTTTCCGGTGTTTCTGCCTTCAGTTTTTTTGAACCTATACTCTCTGTGCCCCCTCGGGGAGCCCTACCTTTATAGCTTCAGCTACAGCCTCTTCACAGATGATCCCAAATCACCATCTCTTGCCACGAGTTCTATCTGTGTACCCTTCTGGTGACATATGGGACATTTCTATATACAGATACCCCAGGAAGCACTTCAAATCCAGAATCAATGCTGAAACGTGACTCTCCTCCTGCGGTCCCTCCCTTGGCTAAAGGGTGCTTTGGTGCCTTGGTGCTTTTCATCTGGAGGAAAGCCTTGACCTGTTCTTCTTCCCTACTTCTGAATGATGACTAAGTCCTTTTGCTGCTTCCAGTGTTTTCTCGTCTGTTTGCTCCTTTCTTCCCACCCCACTGCCACAGTTCTTATTAAGGCTTCCCACTCACCTCCTTTGGATGGCTGCCCCAGATTCGTAGGTAATAGCAATGTCTCCTAACTCCTTTTCCTGTGTCCCATTCCAATCTTACACCTCCCCAAATCCATCTGTTTCAAACCCTTCAGTGGCTACTTACTGCCTCTAGAATCAGGTCTACGCTTCCTAGTCGGGAACTCAATACCCTCCATGATATGACCCAACCCACCCTCTGGGCCATGTTTCACTCCCATGACCACCTTCTGTATGTACACTGAAAGACCGGCCAAATCAGACTGTTGAACGTTCCTCAGAACTTGGCTCTATACTTCACCACCCACATGCCTCGACTCACTAAATCAATCCTTTTCCTCCCCCAGCCTCACATATTCTACCCATTCTTCCAGCCCAGTCTCAAACCTCCCTCCTCTCTGAAATGTTATATTATCTATTCCCACCCCTCATGTTAAGTCTTCTTTCCCTACTTTATGACTTCACACCATCCATCACATTCTGCCTTATATTCGTCATTATTTTCGTACATGCCCTTCTATTCTCCTAGACTGAACTCGGGGAAAGCAGAGGGAGGCATTTTCAAATGTGTAACTCCTCAGAGCTGGGAAAAGTCCATTTGTAGACTCTAGGCATTCACTGTGGTTTTATGGAATTGAAACAAATGGAAACAGCAATCCATTTTCCTAAAATGTTGGCTATTTTTTAAAAATAAGTATCCCCATCATCCCACGGGAACAAGTATTTGGCATTTGTGAGTCTAGCTCAGTTGTGATTTTCAGTAAGCTTCCATGATAGACTCCTATCGCTGCCAACATCCTAAGGTTAAAAATTCAAATTTGAAGAGTGCTTATCAGAAGCCGGGGGTTCCGCTAAGCAATGTCCAAAGCTAGCCAAGGGCTAAATCTGGTAACGTTCTTCAATAACGTAGTCTACAGGCTCAGAGGACTTGCTCGTGTAGAGCCAGAGGAACCACACAGAGCTAAAGGCGGGAAGACTGGTACGTCACACGAGCCGAGTTCCATCATACCCACCCCCAGGATGGCCCTGCCGTTCATTTCCGTTCAGTTTCAGCAAAGAAAAGCAAGTAAGAGAGACCAAAGAGATCAAAGGGTTACAGACATACGCATCGAAAGGTACTGGTTAGCCTGGCACTAGAAAATGCCTTCTGTACCTGGTCAGTTTTATGGTTTTCCTGAATTCATTAGTTATCGGAGCTTTATATCCTCCTTTCCTCAGTAAGGAGTCTATGGTCTGAATATGGTCCCATCCTGTGGAGAGTAGACCAGATAAAATACCAGTCAAGCACATGTCACAAGCACTTTCAGGCAAATACAAAGTGACTTTGTGGAGGTCACAGCTATTACTGTCACCAAATACCAGCAACTCCTTTGGTCCTAAAAACAGTCACACAGAAGAGCTAGGACTTCCTCCTGTAGAGAAGCAGGTCTGACCCCCGCATACCTTAAGTGCTAGCTACCCGTGACGGCTGACAACATTGGCTTTTTGATCTCAATCGCATTCAAAGATGAGAAGTCTAAGAGGCTGGCAGTGACGGCTCAGGTGGGTCTCAGTATTAAACCACGAACACTGCCCTCTCCTCTGACAATGACATCTTTAAAAGGGAGGGAGAAGCCTAAATGTCATTGTGCGAACTCAGTAGGAGTTAGGACTCCCACACTAACTCATGGTAATTACCATCCCTGATGGTATCTTCTGGAGTCAGTGAAGTGTATCTGTGTGAAGTATGCAAAGGCATTTTTATTGGTTCTGACGTGGGATGGTATGCTTAATATCCGGGGCCCCCTCTCTCTTGTATATACTTTACGAAGCCAACGGGAACTACAGGATTGAGACATTTTCGAAAGCAACCCCAATAAACTGTCCGAGAGCTGTCTTAAAGACTAACTCTCTTGTCGGGGTGGGGGGCGTGTAATGATATGAAATTGTATGGTTATATAGCTCACATTTATATGAACCCAACATGAGAGAAACCCAATTACAGATGCTTTCTGAAGAGGGGACAAAAAGCTCTGTAAGATAAAGAGAAAATATTCATTTCAACTGACGTGAAAAACTAGAATTTCATAGTGGCTAGAAAGGACAAGGTGTTACAGAGTGAAGAATTCTCTTGTGTTACAAGTGGTGGTTCATAAACATTTGTGCTCTATCTGCCAACACAGAAACATGTTTGATTAGGAAGTGCAGACCAAGCAGATCAAACACGAAGACTTTGTGTAGTCTCGTTGCTCCTGATCTTAATGGGAAACCTACAATCCTCACGGTAGCCGAATGAGTCCCCGACAACCACCTGACGAGGAAACATTTGATACTGACAATGTACCGCGGGGCTGACTGTTAGACAGAAGGCTTGTTTATGCCAAAAGGCTACAGTACAGTGGGATTATGAGAAAAGGGCATTTTGAATTCATAGCAAACCATTGCCTAAAAAGAAAACCCCACTTCTACAAGGCTTTGCTCTGGGGAAAGTTATACTTTTGCATGTTTTTGCTCTCCAACTCTAGTGCAGAGATTCAACTTCTGTGGGAGTCATTCACCGATCTCATGCAGACATGGCAGTGCCAGGGGCAGAAGAATCGTTTCTTCTCATTTGAGAACTGCCAGGTCAGAGAAGCGCACTTCAATGTGTGTATTTGTTCAACTTCTTCAGCAGATCATAGGAAATAAAGTACGACAATGACCTTGCTCCTTTGCAACCTCCGGTAGGTAGGTGGCAGTGCGTTTTGATCCTTTTTCATTGATGAATTCTATTCTAATACCATGTACACCGACCTGAAAGAAATGGGCAGTTTTATTAGTACAGTCTTCTTCATAGAGATAGAAAGCAAAAGTTATAATTTAACTTCCAAGACAATGCAGTTCTTCCTTTCCCCTTGTTTCTGGAAGGGCACACCTATATACAGAACATTTTTCTCTTTCCAAAGCCACTGACTTTGGGTTTGAGGGCCATTCATCATTGATGAATTCTATTCTAATACCATGTACACCGACCTGAAAGAAATGGGCAGTTTTATTAGTACAGTCTTCTTCATAGAGATAGAAAGCAAAAGTTATAATTTAACTTCCAAGACAATGCAGTTCTTCCTTTCCCCTTGTTTCTGGAAGGGCACACCTATATACAGAACATTTTTCTCTTTCCAAAGCCACTGACTTTGGGTTTGAGGGCCGTGGAGACTGAAAACATCGATGGATGTGCCCCCGTGCACTGGGCTATGCTATTCTGTTGGGACCCAGAACACCCATGCTGCTGTGTGTAGAATAAGACCATCGAGGGCAAGAATTCTGCCCCCACTCCCAAACTGTGGCTCACGACACTAAGGAACTAGAGCGAGGGAGCTGACTTCAATTTGGAGACAGCAAACACGCATCCTGTTTTCAGGTATAAGCGCCACTTTGGATTAAGTTCCAAAACTTCCGGGGCTGCCAACTCCATTCTCAGGCTGTCTAGTCCCTTTAGGACCTTGAATTCTATGTAGACGAGCAAACCCAGATAAGGCTGAAAAAAAGCCAACAACCAGATCCGACATCACCACCCATTCCATGTAGTATTTCTAAAATATATGTCACGGCTTAGGTGGGTCCATGGCAAACCCTCACCGTCTGTCTACATCACTGCCCTCATGCATTGTTGCTAAGTGTATGAGTGATAAAGATGTCAAATCCCTTTGGGGCAGGGTATTTTTGCACCGTTTCTTATATATGAACACAGAGATCACTATAACTTTATGGGAAGCACACAAACTTCTGGTGATGCCCTAAGAAAGGGAGTTCTCTAAGTGAATGTGGGCAATTTCTTGCTAATGTTTTAAGAAAGTAACGTACTGTTTTACTGATTAGCATCTAGTCAGAAGGAATCGGTCTTTTTCCCCCTCGTACCTCACATAGAATCATATACAGAACCGAGGATCACAGAAAGGTCTTCTTGGTAAACACTGGTAAGAAAAATGAAATTTCAAAAGCACAACAACTCCATTCTATTCTCCCAAATCTACCGTCACTTTAGGTTAATGGTCCCCAAGTGCACTTTAGTACAGTGGCCCACGGGACCTGGAGGGAGGACATGAGACCAGGGAAACACTTTCATCCAGGAAAGAGGCTTCCTTTCAGAGCAGGTGAGTCAAGTCTTAGGCCTTGCCTCTTTCCATCTGTAGGCATGCAGAGGTCTAGAAGAGGAATAGGGGTCCATGCAAACTTCTTTTGCTGCTTCTGCCCTTAGCCTGAAATCTTCCACTTTTTCAGGGAAGAAAAAGTCCTCTGGAGAATCCAGCTTGTTCTTTCCCCAGGTCTTCTTCACACATCCATCCATTAGAGGCCTGTCAGATCTTCTGAGAAGCTTGTTTTTTCTGAAAGCCTTATCTCTGTGGCTATTTCTTCTACATGATATAAGTATTCTTATGAATCTCCTTCTGCTGAAGATGCAATCAGGGCAGCTGTTTAAAAACTAACACAATAAGGCCTCCCAGACCCTGTGGGAAATGACTGTGGACAGCTGAGAAGAAATATGAGTGCTTAGCTATCCGGCCTTTCCAGGATAAAGGACATCTACTAATCTGCCCAGTGCCTGACACGGTTCGGAGACAAGGACAAATCTGCAACAGTTTCCATATACCGACTTTCTGACCTGTGCCTTTGAAGTTGTTTTTCTTTCCCCTTCAACCATAGCAGTTCCTTCATAATTTGTTTTTAAAAATAAACAGCATAAATAATCTGTGCTCCCATCACTCACTGAAGTGAATTTTGCATCTTCGACTCAATTTATCAAAAATCTGTCACGTTCAAATTGGAAAGAATTTTGGTGTTTATGAGGGCGTCTAATCAAAATTGTTGAGACGAGGAATGTTTCCCTATTTGTGAGATGAGAGTGTTAGACAAAATCAGGGGTGTTTAATTGGTATGGGAGGGCCTGGGGGCTGTGAAGTTTATCAGAATTTCAGGAGGTTTCATGCTTCAGCGGGTATGGTTTGGAAAAAGAACAACTCCCCAGGTGATTTTTATTCTAGGTTAACTAGAAAACCTCTAATAATTGGTCTAGCTCTGACAAACTGTGGCTGTGTATTGAAAAAAAAAGTGATTTAGGCAAATTGGAGGTAATTTAGACACATTAATCCTTTCTTCATAGGAGTGCCTTGTGTTCTTTAACAAAAATATCAGAGATTTTAAAGCCTAGTAATTTAGCAATTAAAAGTGGTTATGACCAGCTGTACGGTATGTGAATAATACCTCAGTAAAGCTTATATATATATATATATATGTAAGTATAAAGAAGGAGGTTAAGACCAAACTGGAAGGACATGCTGACCAAAATAAAAATTACTCATGAATAAAACTGATTGACTTTTGTATTTTCAGAAGGCCCCACCATCAAATTTAATATGACAAAAAATTACCAAAATTCTCCCATTTAGAATTAGTACCACATTTACAATTTTTAGTTCTTTTCTGTGTTCCTATGATTCTGAACAATTGAAAAGTACCTGCAAATGGAAATGTAAGTAGGGTGATCTTAAAGTGAGCCCTTTGGGAAAAATAACTTCTTTCATGGATTAAAAAATATACTCCACAGTGACAGAAAGCCAAAACCAGAGTGACGCATTTCTTCAACCAGCGGATTTGGGAGAATGGCAATCATGTTCTGACCAGAATCAAAGCATAATAGCTTTTTGTCACCTGTTGAGCAACAGCATTTTCCTTACTCCCAGAACCACAGACGCCACCAAGTAGTCATACTGCGCAATCAAAACAGAAGAGTGGAAAATGGCCTGCTGTGGAGAATGACCGAATCTGGCCAACCTGTGGAAATCACTGGCTTTGCAAATTAAGTCATCTCCACTGACAGGAGCACCAAAACTAATTCTGTATTGTTTGAGGGAGGAATCAGCCACAGCTGCAACTTCAAAATGTAACCCTCATGTATAATAATCGAATCCTCTCTGAGACAGAGTGGAGAATCCCTCTGCGGAGCAGCATCCCAAGAGACAAAGGCTCCAGCCGCAATTATCCGCTAGCTAAGAGATCAGCTAACCAGGGAACTGGGATTCCCTGAAGCAAACTTCCGCTAAAACTCTACCACAGTGTCGCAGTAACTTTCCATTTCTAGGGGTGGATAAGGAGGTAGCATATGGCAAGACCATGTCACCCTACCACCTCTCACATACCCCTAACCACCACTGCCCAAAGTATGGCCAGGTAGGCAAAAACGGGAGACTTGCAGATCTAGCCTTATGGGAGTCTGCAGGTCATTGTCAAAATTATTAGAAGGTCTGAGGGAAAAAAAATGCTTTCAAGGCCCATCAGCTGTGATAATATCCTTTTAATCAAGACTGTACTTTTGCTAAGCAAAGCTATAAATCAACTCGAATGGTAGTAAATTAAATGTAGGACTTATAGATAAGAGGATATGGAATTAAACAGAGCTGTATCTGTGTGTGCCGAGAGAACAGTAAGACCCGTTCAACAGATTCCTATTTCATGCTAAAAAGAAAGCCATATTTGTTCCGAACCATTACATAGCGAGTGATTTTTATTAATGCTATTATACAATCTTTTTGTTTTTAACATCGCCCAGGATGATTAAATATCAAGATTAATGTTAGGACCCTAAAATAGATCTTGATTATTCCGCAGTTGGTTATTCAGTTTGGGGATTATGCATTCCCAGCCCCACCTTGCCCCACCCTCTTTCCTCTTGTCCATTTCTCTGTTCCCTCACTCCTCTGTCAGAGAGCATGTGGGCACGCAGAGAGAGAGATACACGCAAATTAATCAATTTTGCTACAAAGTAAAAGGTTTGGTAGGAGAAGAGATTATAAATAATGGCTAAAATGAAGCTTCTAGACTGCAGATTTCATTTGTCCTCGTTATCTGGCCCCTTGTTAGAAATGTGGCTTCATTTACAACTATTATCCTCTAATGCAGTGACTCTCAACACAGGAGCATTAAAAAAGTGCCCCTCCCGCCCCATTATAACACATTTCCATATTCTGCTCCTCACAACTGCACAAAATTTGATATCCCCTAGTCTGTCTATAAGGCAAGTGTTCGTCCTGTAAGCCACTATCAGCACTACAAAAGGGCCTCACTGTTACTTGTGAGCCCGATCAACAAGCCAACAACCTTGGAAACACTCAAACATGAAAAGGAGTCATCTGGCTAAAAGCATCAACGAGCATAAAACGTGCTCTGGCTAAGTCAAATGGGCTCCACGTTAGCCTTGGACCATTTGGATCCACAATTACCTCCACAGTCCTGACCCTTAAAACTAAATCTGCCCCTGATCACATCCTGGCCAATAAAACCAATTACCTCCCCAGGTTCATCTGTCTTAGCAAATGCCACAGTTAGCCCCGGTCTTCCCCATTAACCAAATGTTGGGTTTCCTTCGTAAAACAGTACGGCCCTAGCTCGCTCCACTGATTTTCAGTGGGTTCACCTTGAAATTTCATGTGTGTGTGTGTGTGTGTACATGTATATCAGGAAGTCAAGGAATCGAAAATGGTTTGACATGTCTTTGTTGATATTATTTGGCAAAATATGCTTTGCAATTAACAAAGCAGCCAGTCACTGGTCATTCACATAAGACTGACCTGCCAGGCTCAATATGCCAGTTCCATTGAACTGAATAAAAGGACTCTGTTCCTAATGAGAGGAGCTCAGGATATTTGGCACACCCTCTAACCTTTAGAGGCTGGCATCATAGAAGACACACATGCTCTTTCACAAAACAGCCCATGGTACCACGGACAGAACAAACACTGCATTGGACAGCCCATGGG